TTACAAACGTCGTTTTCTTTTTTTTTTTTTTTTCTCTCTTGTCCTTCTCTCTTCACGCGCTCGCTTCTACTCAAATTCTTTACATTTTTTGTTGCTTTTTTTCTCTCTTATTACCCTCACTTGCTGATTCAATATTTAGTACCCGCAGACAAAGGTGAATGCTGTATAACTTTTTGCATGGAAATTGTAGCTTATATTGAAACAAAAAATCATCCTTAATTAATTCATAATGTAAGCACTTCCGAGTGTTACATGGAAACGCAAAATAAAAAAAAAAAAAAAAAAAAATAAATAGTTTATTTTATTTTAATTCAATTTAAATGAAATCATTGAAAAATGATTGATATTGAATTTTAACAGTTCATTCAACATTAAATTTATTTGCTGCTGGTAAGATTCTTCTCATTTTCGAAAATTAAAAGTAAAATAAAATATTTGTTTGCTAGGTCATGATAATCAAATATTCACGACGATTGGAAATTACAACATTAAAAGGTCTTCCTCTAATGTAATTACAAAGGTATTTTTTTCAGAATTTTTTAAAATAAATTAATTGTTTCATTTTATTTAATAATATTGTTAGTGGTCCACGTTCGAAAGATGCTGGTGAATCAACAAATTCAATATAAAACTCTAAATGATATGATTTATTCGAATTGAAAGTTAGGATCTTAAAAAGGTCTAACATTTGAAAAAGAGAAAGATATTTTATCTAAATTGTTCGATATTTTAAATGTATATTCTTCTTTTCTAGTATGTGAAGGTCGTTGTTCATCTGATTTAAATGCATTCGGGTCGCTTTAAGTCTTTTTTATGGATTTTAATACAACATTAAAAAAAAAAAAATTAATTAACAGATTGTAATGAAATTTTTTATGTTGATAGAGGTCTTGATTAATTCCTGAAAATGATCATATTAATATATATGATGCTTAACAAAAATGTTCATTAGCAAGTATAAGAAGGGGCAAAGTTAAATATACAATGTGATCAAATGATACGAATTACTTATCATTATTAGGATGATTCAGGTGTTTTTCATCATACAACATCAAATCATATTAAGTATGCATTTATCAATGGTGACCATGGAATTATTCATATACTTGATTTATATATTTATATAACAAAAGTTAAAGTAATAGAAAATATGATGAAGCAAAATTTACAAATTTCTTTTCAAAAATCTTCATCTTGAAAACAAATGATGCAAAAACAAGATTTGGCTTAGCACTTGAATATAGAAATATTGATGTAAATTATTTGTGGTTTTTTTTAAATAGTTTCAATTATCTATTTTTTGAAAAATGATGAAAATTGGTTTGAAAAATTTCTTATTGTTTTTATTTTAATTTATTTTTTTTGTTTAGTTGAACTACGAAAAGATGTTAGTAGACAATTTCAAATTGCAATCTTATTAGGGAATGTTGAAGAACGGATGAAATTTCTTAGACAATGCAATCAAAGTAATATTTTATATTTTTTCTCTATGAGATGGAATTATGTTATGTCTTTTTTTATACAATAGAATCATTTGATGAAAAAGTAATTTATTATGGGTAAGAAATACTCTCATGTTTATACTTTGTCCGAGAGGGTTTAAAAAAAAATTAAAGCAATTTACAATGTTTTATTTTTCGTTTTCTATTATCTTCAATTGAAAGTCTTGAAAACTAGTTATAGGTCTTCATGTAAATATACCAGTTTATTTGGGATATAAAATAATTTTTAAGAATCTTTAATTATGTCCAGCACATCATTTATCTAAAGATTTTGCTGTACTATAGTATACAGAAGTTTCTGTTAATTCTCGAAGTTTCTTTCGATATTGAATGATAAGTTTTTTTAAATAAATTGTACAAAAATCATTATGTCATAGTTAATTTAGTTTATTTTCTCTGGTTGATATTCATTAGAATGTAGATTAAAAACAGAATAAGAAGACTTTTCATATTCTGTTTCAAAAAAGGAATAAGCCGGTAGACTGAGATTTTAACAAAGTTATTACTGTTACTTGTTCTTTGTTTAATTGATATGTTAAATATGAAATAATAAGATAGACATACATTTAATCAAAATTAATCCCGTGTTAAATTTAGTAATTCAAAATAAAATATTTATTTATTTTAGATATCTGAAATAAATCTAAATGCTAAATTAATTTTATCACTATGTCCAATAAGTCAACAAGAATCGAAGCAGGTTTAATATCAAACATAACAGCAAAACTTGCTGCAAATCTTCATATTGATGAAACAGCAACAAGTGGTTAAGATTGGGGTTATGATGAAGTACAAATTGAAGGTGATGAAGATGATCTTAATAGAGAAAATCGTAATGATAATCAAGATGAACAAGATGAAGGTTGGGGTGATACTGAAATTGGATTACCACCTGGTCTTGTATGTTTTTATTCAAATATATAAATTATTGGTTTATTTAATAAATATTTTTAAATTTTTATTTTAATTATTAAGGCGTGATGGACATTCACTAAAATTATTTTATCTAGCAGTTGGATTTTAATCAGAAAAATTAGTTGGACGTTGTCAAATCGCTTATCGTTTAACAAAAAATGGAAAATTTCAAGGTCAACAAGGAATTGAAATATGTAAAGAAAATATTGTTGATTTACAAAATGTCAATGGCAAAAGAAGATTTAGCAAAAGACAATGAAAAACGTTCATGTGAATTAGCTACTGATTTTACTCATTTACAATTACAACCAATACATAGAATCATGACATTAAAATTTGCACTTAATCAAGCATTGTGAATTAATTTCTCAGGTCTACTAGTAAAGAAATCTATATAAAAACATATCTATCTTTAATGCGCTCAAAGATATGTCATATCTGTTGATCGAAGTTGTTCATGTCGTTTTGATTTATTTGAAACAATTGAATTTATTCTTTGTTAAATGAAACATAATTTTCGTTCAATTACTTTAGAAGACGGACAAAAAAACAAATAAAAACTTTATTTTTATTTTGTTTAGACACGGAAAGTATTAAGTGTACGTGAAAAGAATCCAATTGATGAACATCCATTAAATTATGATGAATATAATCCATTTAATATTTGTGCAGCATCCAATGTACCACATTTATCGGTAAGAAATTTAAAAATGAAATCGAATTTAATTTAAAGTAATCTTTAATTCTTGTTTAGTAAAAATCCATTATCCGGTGCAGCCCATTTATCGAAATTTATAGGACAATTATGTCGAGTTACAAAAGCAACTGAAATTGGAATTCTAATTCCATTATCATTATTATTAACTTTTAATGCATATATTTATCATTTTGAAAAAGTAACTTATCATTCAGTGGCGTAGCCAGGGGTAGGGCTATTGGGCGATTGCCCATAGCTCCAGAAGTTATTGCCCATGGATTTATCGAGCTATGCAGTGCTTAAACAGTTATTGCCCATAGATATTTTTGAAATCATAACGGTTGCCCTTAGCTGCCCGTAACTCAAAATAGTTCGGCTGATGAATTGCCCATGACTCAAAAATTCCTGACTACGCCACTGTTATCATTAGAACGTTTTTCTTTTATTTCAAGATAAAGAAATCCGTTTCTAAAACGAGAATTTAGAATCAATACATTTGTTTGAAATAAGTTCACTTCAGTAGACATTGAAATTCTATGATAATATACAAGAATAAATAATCTCGATTTATAAAACGACATCAATGCAACTGAGTACTTAATAATTGTTTAAGAAATTTTATCGACATGATTTCATTTGATATTCAACCATTGCAATATCTCGATTGACTAACTCAATTAGTAACCTACGCACATCTATTAAGTCATTAATAAGACTAACGAGGGAACATTCTCAAGTGTCACATCGCTTTTGAGTTTAGACTTTATGCATCGGGTAGACTCCAGTGAGGTATGAAAAACCCCAGAAGAATACGTGCCCTTAGGCCTTGTGTCTAGAGTTATAGGCATTTTACTGAAATTTTAGCCTTTGGCATGGTGTATCTCGACAAATAGAATGATGATATTTCGACCTGAGATTTTTCCCACAGATAGATCTATTTGTGAGTAGAATACCCTGAAAATTTCAGCTCAAACGAATGTTTTATTTCTGAGATATTAAAGTCCCAAAAATCAATCATATCCCACGAAAGATGCTAGAATTTACTGTTTTTTTGGGACTTTAATATCTCAGGAATAAAACATTCGTTTGAGCTGAAATTTTCGGGGTATTCTACTCACAAATAGATCTATCTGTGGGCAAAATCTCAGATCGAAATACCGTCATTCTATTTGTGGATCTATACCATGCCAAAGGCTAAAATTTCAGTAAAATACCTATAACTCTAGACAGAAGGCCTAAGGGCACTTATTCTTCTGGGGTTTTTCATACCTCACTGGGGTCTACCTTATGCATAGAGTCTGAACTCAAAAGCGATGTGACACTTGGGAATGTTCCCTCATAAGAGATAATTAAATGTCTAGCGATATCCTTTTTTTTTATAGATTTCTTCATATTGAAATAAAAATAAAAATTAACAATAAGAAATAACTTTTCATTCTAAAAACTAAAATGGAAGATAGTAATGATGATTTTGTATTCAATGGTTTATTTTTCCCATTTGAAAAATCTTCGTTGATTTCGATTGACTTTTCTCCAATTTCGCAACTACAGAGTTTCAAAGCAACAAAAAAATGAAAACCTATTCTAAAAACGAATTTTCTTAAATTAATATCGTTTGTAGATAGTCATCATGGTGATGAAAATCTTGATTCTACTATAGAAAAACATGGTCTTAATGGAGCATTTCCAAGAACTGTTATAATAACAACAATGAAACGAGAAACAACACCAGCGGGAAGATGTGTTATTGAAAAACAAATTTAATAATCATTAAATCAAAATGAAAATAACAAAACTGAAACAATAAGTAAAGTATGTGGAGATGAACATCATACAACAGTAAAACAAGATGGTAAAATAATTCGAGAATATGGAAATGCAACAATGAATGAATCAAATCAAATTGATAAAGACATTCGGATTTTTTTAAAAAGCTTTTTTTTTAAATAAAAGATTTTTCTTGAAATGATCTACTATAAATAAATGAAAGAAAATATTATTTGAGTTTGTTTTTTTTTATTTTGAAAAAAAACATGTAGTTGTCTCCTTGTTTTTTACTTAATATATTTTATTTTTTCTGCTTCATCAAAACTAAATCTCTTTTCCGATTGAAAATAAACTTGTCGACAATACCATCATTTTCCTCAACAACGACAGAAATAAAAGAAAAAAAAGTGCCAATTTAGGTCGGATGAACATCCAACAGTTTATAAACAACTAGAGAAAAACTTTTTTTTCGCTAATCTTCATTTACAATTAACTCACAAATTAGAATATCAATTTAATCTTGTTATTAGTTTCTTAGAAAAAAAAACTACAAATATTTCAATATCAATCTTCACCATAAAGTAAATTATTTAGATACGTTGGATAATATATTAATATCATTCATGGAGGAAGGAACTTTTCTTTTCTTGATATTCTCATTAATCATTGAGTAACACTGTTAAATAACACATAAACGGCTGCGAAGAAAGCATTGTGAAAATTAAGAAAATTTTTGTTCTTCTTTCCTTCTGACTATTATTTTTCTTTTATTTTCACTAATTCATTAAAAAAGGGCGTATGTGTTAATCTTCTTCTGATCTAAAGTCACACCCACACCCTCAAGTCTGATTATGAGAGTGATAGATTTTATCAGCACAGACACTAAACATTTACATGTCAGCCGGTTATCTAAGTCATGGTATGATAGGAAATTTGAATGTTTTGAAAAACAAGACAATTGAAAATATTGTTTTTTATATCTCACAGTCATAATAGTGATAGAAATCGTATAATCTTTCTTTGAACAACAGTTCTGATCAGTCTAATTCGATACCAACATGGCGGCAGGCTATAGATTGAAAAGAGTTGTAAAACTGCGATGCTCGAAACAGGCTTCAAAATGGACAACTTTTTCATGGTATAGACTTGCCCGATCCGATAAAGATTTCGTTTACAAAGATTTCTTCTAGTTGTACTTGAAGATGATTTTGCCATCTTTGAAGAACTTGATACATGTAAATGAGTACAACATGGTATATCTTTCTGAAGACTTCTCACAAATGGAATCTCAAAAGGAAAATCAATACATAAACGATTTTTTCGACACTAGTTAAAAACTTATCGACCATTTACGACTCTATTTTTTGCTATGAAAAATTAAGTCTTGAGTCGAACTTTCATCCTAATTTCTCGTTTCGTTGTGATTTCTAGTTTATCTATTTATAAATAAATATCAGTAAGAATCATTAGTGTAATTGTCAGTCTTTCATATATACTATTAATTCAATAAGAATTATTACATTTCAATTCATTTTTCTTAAAAAGAATATCAATAAAAAAAAAGTTGTTAGCACAAACACTATGAAATTAAAATATGGAATAAACGAAACTGTGATGTGGTATAAAAAATAAAATAATCAGTATATGTTTCAATTTATGAATCTGTACCTATTGTAAATAAATGTCGATCATGAAATGTATCACTTCCAATATAGTGTAATGAGTATGAAGGAAAAGTAAAGGGCAATTATCATACTAAGCTCAGTTCTTAGATGAGAAGTACAAGAACAAAATTCAAGTATATGGATATGGCTGGAATAAAATTTGAGTTAGTATCTGTTCGAGTCGAAGCCAAGAGCTGATAGAATCCAGATTCAGTTTTTTGTTCTTCGGGTCCACGAAAATGTACACCTGCAATTCAATAACTTCAACAGTCCTTTTAGATCGTGTTTGACAAATTTTTTAAAAAAAGTTGTTTTATTATTCTTTTGAAAAAGCTTGTTAGCATAGTCCATTTAGTGTCGATATATGGAATTCATATATACCACATAAGAGAGAATAGTTGCTAAGATCTATAATGGAGAGAGGAGTCGAAAACTTTCAATTTAAAATTTACACTCATTATATTCTTCGAAAATAAATGAAAGTTCTACAAAAAACACTTTTACATTAATTTAATAGAGTTGATTGCATAATATATTTTTGTATTTATCATGAGATAAAATCTTAATATCATTTTGATCATTAAATAGATGTATTAATTGTAATTATTATTTATTCAACATTTTCAATAGATAAATTTGGAGATATTTTTAATCAATCAGATTTATGTTAAAAGAAGTCTGCATTAATTTGTAATTCTCCGTCTCTACTTTCTTGTATAAAATATATTCATTTTGATGGAACAAATTCACATTGTTATAATGCTATTTATCAATTTCTTTTATTTTTTTTATCATAATCAACAAGTTCTTTGTTTTTCTAATCTTAAATTTTTGAAAAAATGTCGAAAAATCAATTATGATTTCAAAGTAATTTTTGCCTAATTCGAAAAATAGAATAAATCGATAAAATTCGAGAGTTTGTTATTTATAGAAATCTTCTTCAACAGGTGTTTAAATTACTTGTCGGACAGAAGCTTACCGAAAGTAGAACTAATTTTTTTTTGACCGACTGCCAGAATGAAGACTAGAAATCAGAGCGTAATCTAGATTTAAATGAGATGTGGTGTTACTCTATGCGATTCTGAATAAATTTCTTTATGAAAACCTCAACGATATTATGGTGTGGGTGTGGATATTGTCTTCGAGGATACCCACACCCACACCATCCACACCCGGCTCGCTCATGTCAATGCTATCGATTCATATTTGACTGTTCACCCTAACAGTGTAGCACTTTGGAAAAGTGATAATCAAATTACTTATTTTTAGTAATTGAGAATTACATTCAAAATAAACATGAATTCGTTTTTTTTTCTCGGCTAAGCATCTTGAGAATAAAGAGAACGAACTTGTTAATATCATGATCAGGTCTGTCCAATATTTTAAGTGTGGTAGATGTTTAATTTTGATCTATTGTTTGAGTTGTTTTTTCATAAAAAAAAAAATGTTTATTACATTGACAACTTAGTTGCTGTCGTTTCCTGTGAAAAGCCTCTTGAAGAAATCAAATTTCTTTGGTTTCTCACTTGATAGAATTCATCCTTGTCATAGAGTAAAATAACTTTTCATATATGCAATCATCATCAGCAACAAAGATATCATTTGTGATCATGAGTCTACTTTATTCAATACCAACAATTATTATTCATTATTTTACAATATGACTGTTATTCCAAGTTCCGTTTACTTACTAATTATACTCATATTGCAGAATTACTTACTTCAAAATTCACATTAAACTGTATTTACTTTTCCTTTAGTTAAATATCATTCATAGATTATTTCTATCAGTAGCTATTTAAAAATTATTTAGATTGTTGAATCATTTGATTGGATATTTTGAGAAAGTTTCAACTCCTCACATGACGAGTTGAAGAGGCAGCAAAAATCAGGGGTTTTGTAACGCCAAAAGTATGTATATCCAAAAACACAGGGATGCCGTAACGAAATTTACGGGGCGATCGTAACGGTTATTGCAGGGAGTTCATAACAGTTGCAGAGCTTTCGCAACGAAGCAACAGAGATTTCGTAATGAAACATGTTAGTTATGCTTCATTTATGTACAGAAATCACGTGAGTTTCATGACGAATTTAACAGGGCTTTCATAACAGCTAAAATAGAATTTCTGACGACACATTTCAAAGGATGTAAGAGTGTCAAAACAGGGCTGTCGCAACGAATTTTATAGAGAAGACATAATCGTCCATTCAGGGTTGTCATTCCATAACAGTATAATGTGTTTAGGTTAGATCACAGGATTATCGTAACGAAACATCAGAGTTCTCGTGACCAATCGTCTTGTTCCTGTATATTATCACTCACATTTCTTCAGTAAAGTATATTACGACAATCCTGTAAAATTCAATACGAAACTCTGATTCTGTCCTAAAAAAACCTCTGTTACGATTTTTCTACTGTCAATTTGTTACGAGAGTCAGAAAACAAAAATCGTAACCAGTTGAAATTTTCCCAATACTTTTGTATGCTCAAAATCTGAATCATTATAGCAAAAAAAATGTCAAATTCAATTTGAAAGAAAAGTTTTATGAGAACGCTTTCATCTGCCCCAGAACTTATTATCAAGCTAGCCTACAAATACAATATTTATCATGTTTTTTTAGTTTATTGAATAAATCAAAACGAGAATACATCTACTTGTACAAGGAAGGAAAATAAAGCCAAAAATCGTCCGTACGTACCAATGATCCGTGCGTGAATAATCGTTCCACCTTAGCACAATTGCGTCGTGTTTCTTCTCTTCTAAAGTTTTTTGTTACACCTTTTAAGTAATCAACAAAGACTTCAAATTTCGTCAGACAAGGTATGTATGTCTTTGTTTCATTTAGAAATTGTTCAACATAATCTCTATGTGCATACCTCACATCAAGTGTAGTCAGATGTGGATATTCAATAATTGAGTATAATTGACTATTATCAGATGAAAATGTCATACGACTATTTAATGTCTGTGATTTCATATTAAAAATACGTAAATGCTTCAGTGATGGAAACGATCGGGCAATTCGCATGAAGAATTCATGTTCGAATGAAACAGTATCTCGTACAAGTAAGTACGTAACATAACTGAAAACAGTATTTGGATATTTATTGCCAAGATCTTCGAGATAATCAAACTCGAAAGGAAGTGAGAAAATTGAGCATGCAGCTTTCTTCTTAGTAACATAACTGACCATACTAACTGCATGTTGTTGTCCAATATCTGTTAATGTTTGTTGAATATCTTCACTAGTTAACTTGTAGGATAAATCAACCATTTTCACATAAGTACAAATACAGAAAGTGAATGAATGAAGCTGTGGCATACAATCAAAAATATCGTGTTGAACATCAGTACCATCAACGACTCTATTTCGATGTCGTATAGTAATATTTAGAGTTAATTTTTCCAGATTTGACATACGACGAAAAAGTGATGAAATTTTATCATATTCGTCAACTAGACCGAACACTTTTAATGAGAAATATTTCAGGTTACATAATTTATTCTACAAAAAAAAAAGAAATCTTTCTTTGATAATCAACAAATCTACCTCACATTCATCATTACTTTACAAATGGTATCTGTTCTATATTCTGTCGGTTAATGACCACAAATGAAATATCTATCACATCGATATCCCCATTTTAGAGAATGAAAAACGAGTGTTAAAAGATCAATTGAAAAGTTTCAAAGAAAATTTGAATTGCATACTCAATTATTGGAAGAATTGTTATAGAAAATATTCCATTCCATTCCATGCTGATGGTTATCAACATAGGATAATATTTAATCAATCATGAAATACAGCAGTCTAGTTTACAATGTGAAACTTAGCCGATAAAATATGTAGCTATAATTTCTAGCAAATTTCCTTGATCTTCTTATCAGATTCAAATTCCTAGTAGCAGTAAACTTAACGTCGATGATTTTGATATAATTAGTTACAATCTTCATGTCATAAATAAAATTATTTGTAAAAACTTACCATATTATGAACAATTTTTGAAGAGCTGTCTACAGTATAAACATTAACATACAATGTTGTCAATTGTCTAAGTCAACCATCAAGTAAATAAAGACAATCATCAAAATCATCGACATTGATATATAAATGAGTAAGAATCGGAGATGAAAAAGTAGTAAATGGCTGATCACGAAGTGATAAACCTGGATATGATGACACAAAAGATCCTCCCGTAATACTTAATTTTTTTAAATTTTTGAACAAGGTCAAGATAATACTATATACATATAGACTATAATTTTTCAACGAACGTTCCTTTTTGTATCTATCATCATTGATAAGAGTCAGAACCGTAATTTGTTCTTGGAAAATAGATCGAAGTGATAATTTATCTAAACGACAAAAAAACAATGAAATGAAATATACTGTAATCTATTCTATTTAACACTTTTAGTATTTCTCAACTAATCAAATTCATATTAAATGCTTACTTAAAAAATAATATAAAGCATCTTCTTGGAAATGAGAAATTTTAAGTTCAGTTAGATTCGGATAGTCGGTCGCAAGAAGAATACGCTGCATAAGAACTGAATCAAGAATAAAACATTTCACATTATGATGAATTCTTGGTAATATATCGTTGCAGAATCGATCGATTATAGAGATATCATCAATGGAGACAAACTTGAGAATGTTGGTAAAAGTGTTTTCTTGTGCCAAAATGTTAAGTCGTCTATTATTTATATCCAATAAAGAATAAAGTACATCAATGTTGTTCAACTTTTTCAAAATGATAAGTAATATTTCATCAGGTAAGTCCAGAAAATGGATATTTGATCGGTTCATATTTTATTATGGCTGTGATGCTTTTGACTAAGACAGAGCTATAGATGCATATTTGTTCATTGTTTGCATCTCACCACTTTGACCCCAAACAGACTGAAAAAAAATAAAACAAGGTAAGCTACGTGATTGGTCTATTCCCACTTCGATCATCTTTTTTTAGACGATTTATTCGTCAATTCAGTCTTAATTCGTTTTATTTTTTTCATTCTGTTTGGATCTTTTGCGCCATTGTCAAATTGAATAGGTCAATTATTTCACAAATGTAAAACATTGATGTATCGTTCAACTTGATCATAATCATTCAATGTTGTGTGCATTTTCAAAAGAAATTGAAAGTTGACATTGAGAAGAAAAAAGGATACTTTTTTTTTTTTTATAGCAGAGTCGGTTAAATTTCATTCGTTTAGTGTCTCTTTTATATTCGAGAATTTACCGAATTAAAATGAAATCTGAAATTTTTGCAAAAAGACAGTTCTTTGATGGCCTTGGGTCTTTCAGTTACAAGGAAATTTCACTACATGTTATAATAGTAGAAATATATAGATCTGGATATGATCTCGGTACACTGCACACACATGTATACTGTGAATCTGACATTTCGTGTTCACTTGAAAACAGTGTTAAGCCATTTGTTATGTAGTATAATCTCGTCACTGTTGAACTAACATCTTTTCATTATAGCAAAAATCGTTAATAGACTTGGAATTCATTGAAAGAAGAAAAAAACTTTGAGAAAAGTATGTATTGTCAAGAAAGATTGCATCATATCTATGCAATGCAACGACAGATATTGAGAGAAAGACGGAAGAAAAAAGCGACTAAAACATATGTCGCAGACGAAATTAAAAAGTTAGGAAAATTTAAAATTTCAATTGTAACTGGATATTTTCTAGGAAAACTTAGCATTTTACTTTCTCCTAGGAGAAATTAAAATTTTATTTTTTCCTATAGGAAAATTTTAAATTTTACTGAACATATAAAATCAACTTTATTTTTTCTTATATTTAAAAATACAAAGATCTAACTAGATATTCGAACATGGTTTCGTGTTGGATGAATGACATTTAGTACTATGTTGCATTTTTGCTTCTGGACAACGACATTTCTTTGTAGAACAAGTGCCGTTACAGTTACAAGCCTCTATTATTCAATATAGCGCTCGTTTCAGCTGGAAGTTCATTATCATGTGTAGCTAAGTTGTTATTCATTATCATCTTCTCGTCCTCTAATTCAGTTAAAAGCTATTCATATAATCCTGTTTAATTTGTTAAAACTTCAACATTTATTCAAGTTAACTTTTCAATACCCGCCCACCCATTTCCCATTATAAATATTATATAGCTGATCCTAAATAGTTTATCTCGGATAAAGGCGAATTTAACATACTAAGTGCAAACTAGTCGTGTCAAGTGACACCAGAGCCGAGAAGGCAAACCGGTTGTGTCAAGTGACACCAAAGCCGAAAAGGCAAATTCCTCGTGTTGGATGTCTTGGCATTCAACATGTAGAGTGGATTACGCTGTACTTGTGACCCAACGGCCTGGAGCCATGGCACATCAGAGATGAGCACAGGACAACTTTTTCTGTCCTGTCCTGCCCTGTCCTGTAGTCAACCTCCGT